TGGGAAGAAACGGGTTTTTGTTGGACCACAAATTACACCCTGGGATTTGACACAAGTAGAGAAAAATGCATTCTTCATAACGAAACTGATTTATGTATATCAAGGTCCTGGAGTGATTCCATGTTTTTTTTTGTTTGTTTTTTTTAACAAAGATGGACTCAGCTATTTATGTTTTCTCATAAATAATAAAGACGAGTCTCAGACGAGTCGGGGTCCACGGAGTCTGCTGTTTCAGAAGGAGAAATCCACCAGAGCCTTTTTTATAGGGAGGAACCAGAGTGGATACATATGATCAAACACACACACACACCGAACATACACACACATTTATATCCAATTAATATCACACACCATCTTTCTGGGCCCGGGGTTTTGTACCAACATACTGTATGTAAGTCCTGGTTCTTGTTGTTGGAGGGACATACAGTATATTATAGAGATTATAGTCTGGTGATGTCATTGTATTATAACCAGAAACATTCTTTATTTGCTCTTAATCATTATGTCATTTCAACTCTTAGTTGTTGCATAATTACAAGAGGAAAAAAGGACTTCTGACTTGTCGTGTCTGGATGAGCTCATTTGATGGATACTTCTAGAATGTTTCCTAATGTAAACCATCTTGGTGATGTGAAAATGAGTCCTAGAGCAACATGATCGTGGATGATGCTGCGGTGCAGTAACTGACGTTCTTTCTGGCTGCTTGTGTTTTTTTTTTCCTGTCATAGTCCAAACATCCAGGCTTAACTGGAGCCTCTTCATTGACCGTAGGTGTGAACGTGAGTGTGAATGGTTGTTTTCTCTGCATGTGACCCTACACTAAAAAAGGGTTAAGTGGAAAAGGAAAGTACAGGAACCAGTGTCACGGAAAGACTATTTGCAGGAGTTTGCAATTAAAAAACCTTGGAGTTAATTGTTTCAACTGCAACGTTATAACGGATAATATTCACATACGAAAGAACTGCATAAAAAAAGAAGTCCCAAAGTAATGAGTTTGTACGAAACAGCAGAGAGAGCAGTTTGGAGGTGTGACCCCGTGGGGCCGGACAGCACTGATAACATGGATGTAACTTTATGCATTTTCAATTACTGAAGAGGACGGCAATAACTGCTGTGATCTCTGGAGTCACATTCACAGACTGTAGTGTGTTAATGTTTTCACCTCCGAGGAAATTATCCACAGAGCACTCACTGATCTGGTTTTTACACTGACTAAAATGCACATTACATGCATCTACAAAACAAACAGAGTATTATAATTATCATGTGTCTGCCATGCAGTTCTATTTCCTCTCATTCTCAAGCTTGTGTCTTCAAGTGTTTTGTTTCAATTGCATTGTTTGATGGTACCTTTTAAAATTCTGTGAGTGATGTATGGATGTGAAACGTAGCATTAGCTGCTCCGTTTAACACTGTTTTATGAGTTGAACAGACACGATGACAATGAGAAATGGGTGACAAAATCTTTGAGCTCACGTTTAACCTTTTCAGACATTTCTGCTTCTTTGGTTTTGACATCAAATAACCACAACGTTCAAACTGTTCTGCGTTTGAAACGACATACATGAAAAATGGACAGCAATCATTTTCGTATTAACTCCTGATGTTTGGGCTGAGCTTAAAATATAGCAGACACACAATGAGCAAATCCAAGCCAAGATGGCTGACATACAGTCCAGTTGTCTGGGGCACATGTGTAAACGGTAGACAAATCCGTGTGGGACCACTTCCCTGCCAACTTTGCATTCGCTGAGACGGATGCCAGTTGCGGTTGTGTACTGTGTTTCGAATGGGTTTCTGTATGGATTCTCCTCCAGGACATCAGATCTAATGAAACAGTAGCCACTGGACTTAGAGTTTATTTGGAAGAATATTACTGCTTCAACAGAGAATTATTTTTTGTTTTTCAAGGATTTAAAGTCACCGTAGAAAAAGAAGAACTCGCAGAATGAAATGTTCCCTTTGTGTTTAACCCACTGACCCATTCCTGAGGTGAAGAGGAAACTCTGAGCGTGGGTTCAGTTCCCGGACCAGATACAAGTTCTTAGATTTTCCCATTTTTTACTGGTTCTAACTGGTTCATGGAGTTTGATGGCAGGCCTGGTTAGGGTTACGGGTTCAAATCCCACCTGGTCAGCTGTGGTGTTTTAAGCAAGTACTGCAGCTTCCTAACCCACCCAGGCGGACAGTGTCCATCAGCAGGACACATTTTGAGGGTACAGGTAAACTGTATGTACAAGATGGGTGAGAAAGATTCAGTGTTTGAGTCTGTAGATTTACAAATAGATGGTAGTAAACTGGTTGGCAGTGTTTCTGTTGCCTGGGGTTCCAGAATTGTGTCTTTGTGGAAAAAATGTTTCTGCAAAGACAACATTTTGGAAGGACTTTAGCTCCGTTGAGAGTTTTGTTCTGTGATGAGCCAACTGTTAAAATTAGGCATTGTCACGCAGACTGAAGAAAAACATTTTCCTCCAAAGAATTTCTGGGCAGACTATTCTCTGTTTTTTATTCTTCCAACTACAGTGAACCTACTCACCGCTGACTGTGTGGTGATAGTTTTGTCGTCTGTCATGGTCTCTGCACCAAAGGTT